AAAAAGAAAAAGTTGAGAGTTTTGCCCTGCTTGGGATCAAGCTAGCTGGTGCACAATTTAAGTTGCCTACCATCTTCCCCTTTCATGAAAACTGACCCCTTTGATTCAATTTATAACAACTCTGAAGGGCCACTGCATCTCTACTGTTTCCCCATAAGATAGGCCAAGGTCCCTGCCACAACTTGGTCACTGATGGCATCTTCCTCTACCCAATTCTGTATTTTTCACTTCCCCAAAGCCTCCTACCTACAACTCCCAACTCAGAGTCCATTTTAAAAGACTCAGTCTTGGACATTTGGTACTAGGCATGTTCTGAAAAAGCAGAGTATAAAGTGCAATTTGAGTCTATATACTTACTTCCTGGCTGAAATAACTCCTAACTAGCAGTAGTAGAATATGGGTCTGGACAGCTCCTGGCATGTTGGGAGTGGCATGAGTGTCAAAACTCAGCAGTGATGGACTAAGACATAATACAGATGTTAGGGACTGTCCTAGACATTAAACATCCTAGAGGCATAAGAGGTATGGAAATATAAATAGTATAAGGACCCCTGAGCTAGATAAGGACCACTGAAATAGATAGCTGGGTTATCTAAGAGTGACCATCTAAGATCAACTTCAGGTTAATTCAGTTCAATTCAGTGTTTCTATGTGTCCTATGTCCAGAACATAGGAAAACAAATGAAAGTGAAACTAGGCTTGAAGGATCTACCCTCTCAGCCTCAGCCATCCATGATGTGTTTCTCATTCTTTGCTCATGAAAGAAGTTACCAAACTGCTGTGCTTTGGAATCACCTTAACAATACTGAAGGCTGCCTCCTAACCTCCGACAACACGATTGAACTACAAATAAGTAAAACCTATACAACGATGTTTTTATTTAATTTAGAGAATACTTTATTAGTTTCTGCAATAAAACTCCATAGATAAGACCTTTCATATTTGATACAGTGTGTACAAATGGAAAAAATAAATTTAATGTTTCTCCACCAATATGGCTGTTAATATCTGTAAACACCAACTCAACATGGTAAAGTGGGGCACTTTTTTCCAAAGCTGACAACATAGTTAAAGTTCCAAAAATTCCAGACACACACACACACACACACACACACACACACACACACACACACGGCAAATAGCAGCAGACTGTCATGCATCAGTAGCAGCAACTGCTCTTCCAGGTTCTTCAGTCAATTGAATGAAATTGTAGAAATGCCAGCACTCAATATCAAGATTTTTTAAAGCTCCCCAACTAGTTTAATGTGCAGCACAGGAAAAAGTCATTAACACAAGTCTCACCTTGCTATCGATGAGATTTTTAAATCATATTACTTATTTAATTATTCTCGTCTTCTTTTGACATTTTCCAGGCTAACTTTTTCAAAGAGTGTTTTTAAATGTGTTAAAACTATAAATTCAGACTCACTGCATATTGATGAAATAGAACTTGCTTTTGAACCCAAGGCAACATAGACATTAGCAAACACATTCTTTTTCTTTGAAAATGCCTGCTGTTTACATTATTAAATTAATGGTGCCAGGTGTTTAATAATTCTTTTATGATTTCACCTTTCCAGATGACATACTGCTCAGCTACCCTGAGTTGGTGAGGCTCATTCACTGATGAGGTTTTGAATCTTCCCCTAGCATTATTTTCTACAACAGGTCCAAGCAGGCCTTGGAAAGTGTGAATAGAACCATATAATAATAATGTACTTAAATTTCAGGAAAGAACAATCAAACAGAGAGTAAACATCACGCAAAACTTCCTTCAGTTGCTTATGACTTAATCACCTGATCTCAGTTGCCTCCTTCCCATGAAGGACATCTACCCCTTCTGCTTACTGACACCGAGTTCCTGCTGCCCGGCCACTAACATTAGACATTGCTGTGTGCTCAGTGAGTAGGTCAAACAAAACACAAAACTCAACCTACGCTTTCAAGAGATTTATAATCCAGAGAAGGAAAATAAACATATGTACAAGCTATTGTTTGAATACAGTATTTTAAAGATGGGATACTCACAAGATACTCCAAGTTCTTAGTAGCCAAGAGAATACA